ATATACAGTCAAACCAAAAATTATTCAGAGACCAGATATAATTTTTGATATTTTTTTACTAGTGGGTGCAGGACACTATAGTTCATTTATGTAAGTGAGGATAGCAAAATAAAGTAAACTGTGACAAATTATACCCAAATATTCTTCATACAGTGGACTACCAGTAACATTTGTGAGCAAAAATTATCCAGACACTTTGAGCTGAGCATGTTTTGCTCAAGTGTTTTCTCTTTAATTGCTAATGTGATCTTTTTACACCACAGACTGAACAGAATGAAGCACTGCTTGGTAATTAGTTGAGCTGAATTGGTTTTATCTAATTGTGTTCTTAAATGTAACATCTGATAGATATTCAACCGAATTCATTCCATACCTTTCTATCAAAGTTATCTGACATTATCAAGATGAGTTTGTTCTGACTCAGTTTAACTCTTGAGTTCTTCTCATATTTTATTACCATTTTCTAAACTATAGCCAATAAACTGTGATTATGGTAGAAATGTTGAAGTGTCTGAATAAATTTAGGTTTAACTGTATAGTACAAACACAGTTTTCATAGTCAACTAAAACTCAAACCATTTTTTTTTTTTTGATAATAATAATTGAAATAAAATATAAACATATAAAATATTTTTAAAAACATTAAATTATTTTATTTCAGCTAGTTGCCAAGGAAACATTTATCATTTTGATTTAGTTTAACATACTAAAATAACTAAACAATGTTTAGTTATTTTCATACATTACTTGATGTACTAAAATAACAAAAAATAACACCTAAAACAACTAAAATAAATTTTTATAAAAAACTGTATAAACATAAAATGACTAAGTTACTAAAACTAAAATAAATAAATAAATCAAATCCAAAACATTACTAAAATCCAGTATTAGGATGGTTACTATGGAAATGTAACAGGTTACAGATTATTACAGAAATGTAACAAGTAGTGTAACTATTTCAATTACTTTATTAAAGTAATGTAGCTGATTACATTTTTTTTTATTTTATAGCACAACCACCACAATATCAAACTTTAGCACCTCCTTTTACTTTGAGGTTAAATACAGATTTAAAATCATAACAAGAAATAGTTTAAGAGATATGATACTCTTTTTAAAATCAAATCTTTGCATAGCTGTGACAGTAAACATTGCATATAACAATGTCTTGGAAAATCTATATCTTACAAAATAAAGCATATACATAAACCCAAATAGGAAATAAAACAGTTATGGATCAGTGGTGCTTGAATGAGTGACTGACCGTATCCGTTATCGCTGTACGAGGACGGATGTTCTCCCAGGATGGCCTGCCGCTGTCGGCCTTTACCGCGCTCTACAGTAAAACACATTCAACACACACACACACCGACGGTCAATACACCCACATTTACACATTCACTATGAGAACACAACAGACGCACATGATCCTGAAGACAATGAAGATCTGTTTAATATCAGTAACATCCCTCACTTTACATGACTCTATGCGTGTCTGGATGATTTACTAGGGAGGTTTTTTAATTCTCATTCTCAATCACAATACGATTTGTTGTATTTATATATATATATATATATACACACACACATTATACAGTACATAAAGTATATATAGAAATTTTCTTTCTTTGAATCCACAAAAATTAAAAATACAACACTGAGAAAAACTGGTGCAGAAACTATTTTTACTCAGAAATTGAAGTCGTAAATTACAAAGAAATGGCAAGTAGGACAGTGAATTGATTTTTTTTTTAACGTTTTACATTTTCTACATTAAAAAAAAACTTTTAATTTTTTTATAGAAAACTCAAATAGTATTTTTTGTTTGTAAAATGTACTCTGATAATCTTTGTAGTATGTACAATTTAGTTGTATTATTTTTGACAGTGAGCCAGATTACTAAATACTAACCAAAAAATGTAATAAAATTTAGATAATTAAATATAATTTTAATATTTTTTTCCTGCATGAGAAATTCTTGTCATGAGCATTTGAGGTTAAATGTGCTTCACTGGCATGAAAATAATGTCAAAACACAAAACATTTTTTAAGACCATTACTGTACTTGTATGTAAAAATTTAGTTCTGCATTTCCATAGCTCAAACAGTAAAGCACTGTGATCACAACACCAAGCTAATGGGTTCAATTCCCAGAAAATGCATGAAATGATTCAATGCGATGCAAATCAGTTTGGATAAAAGCATCTGCCAAATGCATAAAAGTAAATGCAATTTATTTTTCTGATTTTAGATGAACATGTTTTATCTGAAAATAAAAGCAGTCGACTAGAAACCATTTGCAATATTACATTCACTTTCACATGTCACTGAACCAAACGAAACACACGAGCTGCTGGGCACCTCGTAAAGGTGAAAGAGGAAAATAAAAGTCATTAAATGTCACAGAAACACTCCTGTACATACTGCGAGACAGACAGGCAGAGACAGAGAGAGAGAGACGGGCAGATATAAAAGGCTTTGTAAATTAGGCTGGATTCAAACATAATCCTCTTTAGATGAAGCAGAAAAACAGACAAACATTCAGAAGAAAATTTTTTATGTGGCTTGCAGTTTTTGTAAAAAAAAAATGTGTTTGTTTTTAGCCAATTTATTTATAATAGTTAATTTTCACATTAAATTCAATATTATGTCAACACTGAAATTGCTGTATAATTTTAGTAATTAAAAATAATTTTCATGTCAGACAGTAAAATGTGAAACATATCTGTAGTTTCTCGCAACAAAAACCCAAGTGTCTTTAATTCTTTAAGGCAAGACACTACAGGTGAATATGGTAAAAATGTAAACTAACATATATCACCATACTTCAGCTGATTAATCACAGTACATAGAGACAACTGTTTTGTATTACAAGTTTTCTAAAATGTTATGTCTGAATATGCATACTATTAGTTAATTATATATGCACTAAATTACATAGATTTTCAGAACATAAATCTGAACAATACATGTAGTACAACAATAAACACCTGAATGTGTATTTTGGGTGTTTTCTTTCCACTTAATAATACATATCTTTAAATAATAGTATCTTTAACTAAGATAATCCATATTTTTTAAACAGTTTTACACTTTATCTATTTGCGTCTGTATATTTAAATTCCAATCAATATCTTTAAAGAGTTTTTTCTCCACTTCAGCAGCACTTACATACACCAAACTTTACAGTTTTATTCCTCTCTATATTCTGAATGTTTTTACTGAGGGGATTTTGGATTTCTCATTTTATCACTCCATAAATCAGAAAATACTGTCAACAGACAGAAAAAAACACATTTTCACCATGTTTTTAAGAAAAAACGTTATATAAATCAGTGTGCATGATATATTCACAAACCCCTCAGTAAAAACCTTCAAAATATAGAGAGGAATAAAACTGTAAAGTTTGGTGTATGTAAGTGCTGCTGAAGTGGAGAAAAAACTCTTTGAAGATATGGATTGGGATTGAAATATACAGACGCAAATAGATAAAGTGTAAAAAAAAACAGTGTTTTTTTTATGTTCTGGTCAATTTTTAGATAACATCCAAAATACACATTTATGTATATGTATTGTAATTGAAATCTATAGACACAAATAGATAAGATGCAATAAAATAAACACTTAAATGTGTATTTTGGATGTTTTCTTTCTACTAGTCTAAAAGAAGACATATTATTCTACTAAATTTGATCAATGCAAAAACAATGTCCTATAGTGTCTCACCTTAAAAAAAAGTCATGTTAATATTAATAATTTGGTCTAAACCTACAGCTGGGATCGGACAGGCTCCATGTGCCTGAAGGAGATCTGAGCTTCAGCCATCACATTTCTAATTCTACAAAGTGCTGACAGAAAGTACAGAATGCTGAGAGCGCCGGAATAAAGCGAGACAGACAGAGAGAATGAACAGAGGAAGAGATGTTTAACACAGAGGTACTGTGAATGTCTGATGAGTGTCTTCACATTAGCGTGTGAGTCCAGCTCACGCTCTTATCTTCA